TGTAACCATGGATAATAAAATAAATGGATAGGACTCTAGCTGACGTAAGCAAAAACAACCTAGTTGCAATCTGTGACGTCACGCGTATTGCAAAGTTCTCGGCATTTTTGTTGTTTCGCTATACTTTCCGCTTTAAAAGAGTAATATTGAAGCATATACTGGTCTAATTGTTTTAAAAACATGCCTAAGCCACGACAAAGCATTCAAGGTAAATGTTTTTCGTCTTTGTTTTGTATTTTTTTACATTTGTAGCTACGAAATTGGCGTCCCCAATTTTAACGAAATTTGGGATGCCTTTTTCACTGTTTAGTGCTTGAAATATTTGCTAAAATTGACTGGGAATACTTAGAGATTTCATCGTAGAATGGCGTAGTTATATTCATTTGTTCTTTGACTAAAATGTTTAGCTGTATTATTGCTAAACATGCCGTTTTTGAGAATTTGGTTTGCAACTAGGTTTCAACATCCAATCACGCCATCAACCCATTGAAAACATTAGGTCACGTCAGCTAGTTTCCTATCCATTTATTTTATTATCCATGGTGTAACTACATAATTTTTACGTGAATCTATAGATTAGAACTTACTTAGTTAGAATCCACTTCCCCCCAAGCGAAATAGTTGCACAAATTGAAGTACAACCTCTCCAAAGTTCAGGCTTCCTCGTGTTTCGGAATCCATGAACCGCCATTGTTGGGTTGCAAATACGCATGCGCTTGAACACAAAACACTTACTGCGCACGCACAGATAAGAAAACTGATCTCAATCCAGGACTGGACAAGAAAGAAATTATGAAATGTGCGAAAGCAGGGATGAAGTAAAACAAGATTAGTGTTTTAAAAATATATGATATTTTTATGTTCTGTGCATTTTAATGGAGTTTACCAAACATTCTGAACAATGTACAGTGTCGAGCCCTCGCCAGGAACACTTCCAAGCCAACATTACAATAATAACTTATTTAAAATATTAATTAAAATATGATGTTATTTTATACTACAGCAATTGCATAACGTTTGCAAGCAAATCTGTTTTTCAGGCTTTAAATATTGTCACAATCCTAAACATTCAGGGCCGTACACAGCGGAGAGGCAGGGGGGGGGGCAATTGCCCCCCCCCCCTTAGAGAAAACTATATTTACAATTTTTAGAATATCATTATTAGTTATTCATGCTATAGTGTTTGTGAACTATATATTGAATACTGATTAGTTACTCTCATTTGGATTAGTTATTAGCATATTAATTAGCTATATTACATCCCTCCCCACAAATTTTAGTATAGGTTCTCTGTTCTTCACGTTATATGTTATTCAAAATGTCTCCTCTGCCCGAAACGACAATAGGAATTTAAACTGAAACATATTTCAACTGTTAAGGGAGCATTCATTTTTTAGCTGGGGGGTGGGCCGGAGGAACTGAAGTCTAATTCCATGCTAAAACTTGGAACCCCCGGGAGAAAAGTTGATAAAAAATTATGACCCCCTATTTTTTTACTGAAAAATTTTTTGACCCCTCATCCTAACTATTATTAATCCACACGGTGTCGTTTCCGTAGCGTTTCAGGGCCCTAGGAAGCTCTTTATGATTGGGGGGCTGAAAGCGAGGGCCGAAGGCCCGACGAAATTTTTAAATCTAGAGTCTCTGAAATGCCATTTCCTGGACTTTAGGGAAGATTTTAACAGAATTCTGATGGTCAGAAAACAGCGTTTTAGTATGTCGAAATTTACAATTTGGTAGTACTAAATGGGCGAAGGCGTATTTAACTATATATTGGATAACTAGGATAAGTTGCAGGAAACTGTGGGTAATATCTTCATTCTTTGCAGTTTGTCATGGATAATGTGCCGCTTAAAATTAATAAAGCTTAAAATTGATAAAGGTCTGCATGATTTTGAAAAAAGAATGATTACTAGCAAATTCCCCCAGCCCCCCCCCTCCCCCCCCCGTTGCTACGGCCCTGCGTTTTCATTCATGTTTTCACACAAAAACGGATAAAAACAAGGTCAATTGACAAAAGTCATGGAAATGTTTTCCTATGGACTGTGTGAACAGAGAGCATCAAACGAATTTTGCTTCTGTGTTAAAGATGACGAGATAGTTGATAGATTCTAGACCCTTTTACCATTCTTGATCCAAATATTTCCAAATTCTATAAAATTATATTGGTGATTTTTTCACTGATTATTTTTATGACCCCCTCCATTTATACCAAAACTATAAAAATACCCACTCCTTTGAAGCCTGTCAAAATTGGCTGACCCACCCCCAAATTCCTCCGGCCCACCCCCCAGCTAAAAAATGCAATAGGTGTCTATAGTCTTTGATAGTTCAATGTTCAAATCCAAGTCTATTTGGTTGTCTTCTTTCTCGCTGGGATCTTCGTAAATAAGCAGGTTCTTGATTGTGTTGGTCTTCGTTGGTTCGGTCGCATTCAAAATCGTCGTCATCATTTTCGTCATCTGAAGTATCCGTTACACGATTATCAATCTTTTTGAAGAAGGATATGTTGCGTGTTATCTTCTTCGAGCCACGTTTGACGGTAACCATAGTTCCTTTCCGAGTTTCAACAGTAAATGGTTTGAAGTTAAACGGTGGGGTAAGCTTGTTCTTCTTGGTTGGCGGTACAAGACTGTGTCTGAGTGTCTCCTATCTTCAGATTAGTTGTTTTCGAGTGTTGTCGATGATCTGAGTATTTCTTCATCTTTTCTTTCTTTTCGTGATCTCGTTTTCGCATTGGATCTTGGGTTTCTTGTTGCTGAGTTTTTGGAACACTCGGAAGTGGTATCTTCAACTTTCGATTGTTCAGGGCCTCGGATGGTGACACATTCGTCGTATTGTGCGGTATGGCTCTGTATTGGCGGAGAAATTGATACAAGGCTTGTTTTCAGTTCTTCTTCTCGATGTCTGCTGTACGTATGGCTTTTTCAATGATGCGCATAAACCGTTCCACTTCTCCATTCGCCTTTGGCCAATACGGAGTGACTTTGCGATGTTCGAAACCAAGGTAGCTGGCAAATTGTTCAAATTCCGAGCTGTTTAAATGGCGGACCATTATCACTTTTAAGAACAACAGGAACACCTTGGCGGGAAAATATGTTATCCAGCTTTGGGATGACAGCTTTTGCGCTCGTATGGTGACAATTTCTACTTCGGGGAATCGGCTAAATTCGTCGATGACAACGAGTAGCAGCTCGCCTGATGGGAACGGACCAACAAAGTCAACAGCAACCTCTTGCCATGGTGCGTCGGGCAGCGGTGTCATGATCAAGGGTTCTGGATGTCGATGGGTACCTGTAGTTGCTGCTTGGCATGGCAGGCACGTCTTGACTTTCTGTTCCACCATCGTATCTATGGAGGGGAACCAGATCTTTTCACGAAGTAGCATTTTCGTTTTGACTATGCCTTGGTAGCCTACGTATGCAAGATCTATGGCTTGGCTCTGCAGTGAATGAGGTAGCACTAGGCGGTGGTTTCTGACGATTAATCCATTGCAGACAGACAGTTCGTCCTTTACGTTAACGAACGGTTTCACTTCAGGATCGAATCATCGGTTGTGTGTGATTGCTTCAGAAAGCTTGCAAAGGACTGGGTCGCCAGCGTTTTCTTTCTTCACTTCGTCTAGTTTCATAGCTTTGGGGATGAGGTTGGTGCACAAATAGTTGATATATGCTTCGGTGGTGTTGTCGGTGGGCGAAGAAACGACAGGGTTGGGGTGACGGTTGAGAGAGTCGGCAGGGTTTTCTGCATCTTTTCCTGGTTGTAAACAACTTCGCAATCATAAGGCATCAGTCTTAGATTCCAGCGGTCGATTCTCGCTGAAGTTGGTTTCTGACTTTTGAAGATTCCGAGTAGCGGCTTGTGGTCGGTGATGATAGCAAACTTAGCACCATAGAGGTAAAGATGATAGTGTTCGATAGCCCATATAACGGCTAATATCTCTCGTTCAGTTTGTGAATAGCGGGATTCTACACTGGAAAGTGCACGACTTGCATAACTGATAACTCTGCCTTCTTGAGTAAGCAGTGCTCCTAAACCCGGGGGGCTGGCATCAACAATGACGGTGGTTGGTTTCGAAGGGTCGAAGTAAGCCATAACAGGATCATTCGTAAGCTCGTGTTGAAGTTTCTTCAGGGCATTCTCTTGTTCCGCTTGCCATTGCCATTTGGCGTTCTGGTGGGTCAGGGTGCGCAAGGGTGTTGTGATGGAGGCATAGTTGGGAATAAACCGAGATACGTACTGGGTCATTCCGAGAAGGGACTTGACTTCGCTCACATTTCTTGGAGGTTGCATATTCCGGATGATGTCGATCTTCTTTGGGTCGGCCTGAACTCCACTTGCGCTGAATGTGTGCCGAAAGAATACTACTTGGTGCTGACGGAAGGACCAGGCGTGTTAACCCGTTTACAAGAAAACAACGCCAAGTTAAACAACTTGGCGTTGTTTTCTTGTAAACGGGTTAACACGTCTCGTAAGTTCTCATCATGTTCTGTGTCATCTCGACCATAGACGATGATGTAGTCCGAAATATTCTTACAACCAGGTAATCCAACTAGTAGGTTTGCAATTTCATTCTGAAATATCTCTGAGGCTGTGCGTTAATGCCGAACATTAGTCGCTTGTAACGTCGAAGTCCAACGTGAGTGGTAAAGGTTGTGATATGGCGGGATTCAGGGTGTAACTCCAATTGGTGGTAACCTGAGGCAAGATCTAGGGTGCTAAACGCTGTGGCACTATTGAGGTCTGTGATTAACTCGTCCACAGTTGGCATGGGGTGTTTTTCTCTTTGCACTGCTTTATTCGCTTCACGCATGTCCACGCATAATCGGATCTCTCCAGTTTTCTTGGGCACCACAACGATTGGGCTTACCCATGGTGTCGGACCAACAACTTGCTCAATGATATCAAGGTTTTCTAAACGCTGGAGTTCCTTTTCAACGTCCTTTCGGATG